CAATCTGAATTGTGAATTAGTTGTTAAAAACATCTGGGAAGCTTTCCTTCTGTTTGTAAAGCGCTGCTTGTTATCACTAGCAAAGTAACCTACAAAATAGTGCTCGCTTCAGCAGCACATATACTAAAATTGGAACGATACAGAGAAGATTAGCATGGCCCCTGCACAAGGATGACTCGCAAATTCATGAAGCGTTCCCTATTTAAAAAAAAGAGGAACCTACAAAATAGGCAGATGACCTAATGAGAAGAGCGAAAGCACAGAGGGAAACTGGTGTCCAGCTAGCCCCACCTCTGCCATAGCCATGTGTGTCACAAGACCTGATACAATTTCTTTTTTTTTTAGGAGATGGGTCTCTTTTTGTGGCCCAGGCTGTAGAGCAGTGGTGTAATCACAGCTTACTGCAGCCTTCAACTCCTGGGCTCCACAAACCTCCTGCCTTGGCTTCCTGAGTAGGGGAACTCACGGCTATGAAGCACTGCACCTGGCAATACAAATACTTGGAACCAACTCTGAATGTATCTCCCTTCTCTTCCATGCCTCTGAACATATATGTAAAGTTATTAGGAACAACTAATTAATGCCCATTTGTTTTTTTAGTTTTTTGAGACAGAGTCTCACTCCATCATCCTGGGTAAAGCATTGTGGCATCATAGCTCACAGCAACCTCAAACTCTTGGGCTCAAGCAGTCCTCTTGCTCAGCCTCCCAAGTAGCTGGGACTACATTCATCTGCCACAACATCGGGCTGGTTTTTCTATTTTGAGAAGAGACAGGGTCCTGCTCTTGCTCAGGCTGGTCATGGACTCCTGAGTTCACACAATGTACCCACCTCAGCCTCCCAGTGTTAGGTTTACAGGCATGAGCCACCATGCCCAGCCTACTGTCCACTTGTTTTAATTATTACCATTCCCAGGGAGAGGAAATCTTACAGTGTATTTCATTATCACTGTCACTCCAACATTTTAACTTAAATGAACATCAAGAGTAACAGAATGGCAGAAAAGAAGTACACAGAAATAATACTGGATACTTCCCCCTGCAAAGATTAGTTAAATTTAAATCTAGTTAAATTAAGAACTAAGTATAGATAGAAAAACTTCAAATTTTCAAGAGTCACTGGCCAACTGTACAGATTCGCATTTTCATCCTGGGTTCACTTCACATTTAGCTTCTAGGAGGTCATTTGGAGGATCTTGGCATACAGAGAGTAGAATAGCGATATTCTAAATTTATCCAAATGGCATTTTTCTTTTGAGATAGGACTTAGCTACTTTTGTTTACCCTCAACTTGGGATATTGCTGTTATTGGGAAGTTTTCATTTCATTGAGAACTGCATTCAAATTATAGCATATTCATTAAAAAGTACTGATATATGAGTAACCAGTGAAGATTAAGGACACAATGACTGCTAATCAGTACCATGTATAGAGCACTTACTAAGTGAGGTAAGTGGTAGTTCATGCTTATTACATTCAGTCCCACTCCATGAGGTAGGTATTTCTGTACCTTTCTTTGAACACATGAGGAAACTGAAACTCAAAAAGGCCATGTCACTTACCCAAAATACTGTGGTTAGGATTATAATTTAAGTTTCAGAGGCCGTATTTTTTCTATTTGTAGTCAAATAAGTGACTAACATCGAACTTTAGTCATCCAATTAAATGTACAAGTACACTTTTGTAATATTTACTATGTGTAAATACTACATGTAACATTACTTTTGTAATATTTACTATGTGTATTATTACTATGTGTAACATTACTTTTGTAATATTTACTATGTGTATCATTACTATGTGTAACATTACTTTTGTAATATTTACTATGTGTATCATTAC